AGTGCCATATTTATAGTGGTAGGTAGCGTAGTTCAAGTAGGATTTATCTCCTTATTTTCAGGAGTAAGTATTGGAATATAAGTAGGAGTTTAGACTTACCTTAGTTGAAGTGTTACTAAAGATAAGATTCCTTCGTGATCTAGGATTCCTAGGTTGGGGTATCCGTGTAGGATTAGGGATCTTCATGAATGAGGACAGGCAATACTTGGTTAAGGAATATGCTGGATCTGCCCAAGTAAATATCCCGAGACCTAATATCCCGACGACTCCCAAATTAGTTATTAGAGCAATCTGAAGAACTTCGTCCTCGAGAGTCTCGAGGACCCTATAAGCCCGAGGACTAAGTGATCCAAACAGGGGAGATGGGACCCGTACCAGTCCTCGTGCTCGAGGTATGGGGAAATGCCATTATCATAGGCCCCCGTGCATCAACACCTAAAGGTCGGGAATTGGGTGTGGATGCAAATCAAGTCCTCGTTACATAGTCGTAGAGAAGTTGCCAGTTCTCTTGGATAGTCTGGTTATAGCTCGAGGAAATCGTTCCTGATAGTGATGCTCCGGGGTTAATAAATGTAGCGGTGGATAACTGGCCGTTGGATGTTTGACACATGGCTGGATCCAACAGCCCAGGTGGCGACCCTTGGCATTCCCCTCTAAGGCTTATAAATACCCTCTTCGCTTTTTCATTTTTCACCTTTTCACTGACTGTAAAAACTTCTTAGTGAGGTCGAGCTCGAGCAATCATAAGGTAAGGTTCGAGACTTTTAGCTATTAATTTTTAAGTTATATTTGAGAGATGTCGGGTAGTGAGGGTCATCGAGGTTCTGAGGGTTCGAGTGATGGTGAGGATGTAGGGACCTCGATTATTTTAACCGCAGTTCCCTTAGATGTTCGTCCTAGGACCCAGAGCAACATCGAGTTCAAGGCTCCCAATGATCAATGTTGGTTTAAAGAGCACTTGGCTCTGGCAGCAGCTCGAGAGTTTGGGCTGTTGCCTCGTTGAGACATTAGGTCCCCCGACATTGAGGATAAAATGATAGGTGCTCGAGAGGGGGAGTTTGTTATCTTTAGGGATTCTTTAAAGGCCGGGTTTAGATGGCCCTTGCACCCATTTTTTACAAGTCTTTTGGTCGAGCATTCTATGTCCCCGGGGCAGCTAGTGCCCAATGGTTGGAGGATGCTCATGTACTTTTTCATAGCCTGTAGGCACTTGGGTATCGAACCCTACGTCGACCTTTGTCGAATGGTGTTCGATCTCAAGCACCTACCCAGTTCACTTGCTTTGCCTACTTGTCCACTCGAGGGGGGTTTAGGATCCCGAGCATGCCTACCTCTTTAAAGGGATGGAAAGACAAGTGGTTTTACGCAATCAATCAAGACCCCGATCTCCCTTTCTGGTCGAGGTGGGGGATCCCCGATGTTGCCAAATTTTGTGAGGGGCAAACTTATTTCGAGTCTTTAGAACGTCATAGGCAGATGATCAAGGACCTCGAACCTTTGGTGCCGAGTATGAAAGACATCCTCGAGGAAGAAGTCCTTGATCTTGCTGATGTAAGAGGTGTTGAGGGTAGGGCCTTTTACCTATATTCCCTCCTCATGCTCGTTCCTTGGTGATGTGGTCGAACTGATGCCTTGTATTTTTATTGCAGGAATGTCTTTCGATCCCTCAGCCCTTAGAAAGTTTGTTCAGGCCAAGGCCAAGGAGCATCAACCACAGGTCGCGCCCTCGGCCAAAGGTAAAAAGAAGGCTAGGATCTCGAAGCCTGATAACATACCTTGAGGACCGGGAGAGAGTTCTCAGGCTCGGCCAAACACCCAGAGCCCTAGGCCTGTTCGACCACCATCATCGTCACCCAGGGAATTTCCTCCAAGGCGAACACCCGAGGTCGTAGACCTCGAGGATGACTGTATCCCATCGGTGGCTTCGGTCATCGAGGATTTTGAAAGATGCCATTTAGTCCCGAGCATAGTGGCTAAGTATCGAGGCGATGTTGGTTTCAACGAGGGGATGAAGGCCCTTGAATTCTTAACTTTAAAGGTAAATGCTTGACCTTTCTATGCATATTTTTTATTTCGACTTGAAGTATCTTTCTCGATGATTAATGTTCAATGGTCGGTGCGCAGACTCTCAGTGTGGCTCAAGGCCTATCCTTACAAGGGATGGACGAGTCTCACAAGGTGGCAGGCCTCGTCGAGGCCGTTGAGTTGAGAGATAAGAGGGTGGAAGACCTCAAGGCCGAGCTCGAGGCTATGGTGAAGCAACTTGAAGAGGCCAAGGCTGAAGTGCGTCGTGCTCAGGACGAATTGGGGTCAGCGAGGGATGAGGCCGAAGAGTTGAAGCTGGAGCTCGAGAGGGCATGCAAGGAATATGAGGCAAAGATGGTCGGGAGAAGGCACGAGCTTGGGAGGACTTCAAAAAGCCCGAGGACTGTGATAAGCCGAAAGGGGAATACGCCTTGGGTGCCTATCTTCATGCTTTTAAGGAGGCAAGGGCGTATCTTCGAGCAAATCTCCCCAATGTTCATCCCGATAACTTGAAGTCTGTGCCCGACATTGCAAACACGCTCGAGCTATCTGATTCCGAGGATCCTGGGAACGAGGTGGAGGATGGAGAGGTCGAGGTTGACGTTGAAGCCACTGACCCGTCTCCTGAGGATTTGGATTATGAGTCTTTTTTTTTGAAAATTTGGTGATGTAATATGCTTGAGCATGGGCTTTTTATGTTAATTTTTGAAGTGTGTTGCTCGAGCATGGGCCTTTTATTTTGTTATGTTCGCCAT